GGTTCTGTGACCTTCTTGTCACAGGCCAGAGAAGTCACACCCGGTTGGGGAGGTGGGGGGCTTATAAGGGATTAGGAGGGTGAGGAGTGGGCAAGCTATCCTAGGGGGTGTGGACAGGTATGATTGGCTAAAGGTGACATAATAGACAACTAGAAACTTTTTTTCCTTCCAAGAGGGAGGAGGCTGACATCCGGGTCTTAGTTGGCACATCAGGATGGAATTCAGGGAGAGCTGTCCCCTTTCCATATACGACATGGACTTTGGGGTCTGGTCTGTTCTCCCCCTATGGCATCTCTCTGTTCTGTTTGCATGTCCTTGTTTTTCCTTTCTCCAGCCTAACACTTAGCTTTTGCATATTTCTCTGCAAGTCCATCAGCATGGTTATGACCTTAATTTTAAATTATTTTTCAGGAACATTGGTTAGGTCTGTCTCCCCAGATTCCTTTTCAGGGGAGACTGTCTGTGTTAATCTGGTCTGTATCAAATTCTACTTACTTTTCATGGCGATAGAGATAGTCGTGGGTAGTTGGCTCGTGTCAGCTGGGAGAACATCCCTTCTTGCTAGTTTGTGGCCTTCCTCTGGGAGAACGGCAACCTCTAGTGGCTTGTGCTGGGCAGTTGCACGCAGACAGTGTTTCTGATTCTTGCCCAGCTGCTGTGAAGGAAGCTCTGTGCCCAGTTGCTATAGGCGTGGCCACTCTCATGCTGCCGCTCCACTATGGCAGGGCCGCACTGGAGCGGGAACGGGCGGAAGGCTGTTTATTGCCGTGAGGGGCTTTGGAGCTGCACTGCCACCTGGGGCGTTAGGGCATCTGGAGTTCCCTGGGTTCCCAGCTGCTGAGCTGATTGTGCCAGGACTCCTCTGTCCAGGTGTGGGGTCCCTGTCCCCTTAAGACTTTCAAAAAGCACTCGCTTTTCTTTGTCCCAGGGGCGCTGGCTACAGGGACCCACTCACAGGTTTTACTGTTCCATTTCCCTAGTATCCAGCACCCCGTGCACTGTGTGTCTGCACTCCTGTGTGGACAGCTAGGGCTGGGTGTTTAGCAGTCCTGGGCTCCCTCTCCCTCCCCACTCCGACCCCCTTCCTCCCCCCAGGAGCTGGGCTGAGGGGTGCTCGGGTCCCACTGGGCCGTGGCTTGTATCTTACCCCCTTCGTGAGGTGCAGGGTTCTTGCAGGTGTAGATGTAGTCTGGCTGTTGTCCTATATCTTCTGGTCTCTCTTTTCAGAATAGTTTTATTTGTTGTATTTTCAAAAATATATATGTTTTTGGGAGGAGATTTCCGCTGCTCTACTCATGCTGCCATCTTGTCTCCTCCCTCCTCATGCCTTTTTTTATGACTGAATAATCTCTTGTATAGTTATATCACATTTTGTTTATCTGTTCACTGTTGAAGGACATTTGTGTTGCTACCACTTTTTATGTATTGTGAATAATGCTGCTATGAACATTTGTGCACAAGTTTGTTTTTTTTAATGGAGGTATAATTGGCATATAACATTAGTTTCAGGTGTAAAACATGATTTGGTATTTATATATATTGCAAAGTGACCACACTTAGTCTAGTTAATAGCTGTCACTATATGTAGTTACAGAACTTTTTTCTTGTGATAACTTATAAGAGCTATTCCCATCAGTTTTCAAATATGCAATACAGTATTGTTAACTGGACTCAACATGCTGTCCATTATATCCCCTGGACTTATTTTCTAACTTGAAAGTTTGTGCCTTTTGACTACCTTTACCCATTTCACCTACCCCCACCCCATGCCTCTGGCAACCACCAATCTGTTCTCTGTATCTGTGAGCTTGGACTTTTGTTCTATTTTGTTTTGTTTTTAGATTTCACATGTAAGTGAGATCATAGGGCATTTATCTTTCTATGGGTGACTCATTTCACATAGCCATAATGCCCTCAAGATCCATCTATGATATCACAAATGGCAAGATTTCCTTCTTTGTTTGTGACTGTGTAATATTCCATTGTATATATATAACACATTTTCTTTATCTGTTGTTCATCCATCATTGGACACTTAGATTGTCTCCATATTTTGGCTATTGTAAATAATACTGCAGTGAATTTGGGGATGCATGTATCTTTTCAGGTTACATGCATATTTTCATATTCTTTGGATAAATACCCAGAGGTGGAATTGCTGGGTCATACGGTACTTTTATTTTTTATTTTTTTGAGGAACCTCCATACTGTTTTCCATGGGTGCACTTGTTTACATTTCCACGAGTAGTGTATGAGTATTCCCTGTTGTCCACATCCTTGCCAAAGCTTGTTATTTCCTTCAGTATATACTCTCTGACTGGTATGAGAGTATCACTGTAGCTTTGATTTGCATTTCCTTGATGACTACTGATGTTGAGCACCTTTTCATGTACTTGTTTGTCACCTGTATGTCTTATTTGGAGAATATTCACAAACACTGCCCGTTTTTTAGTTGGGTGTTTTGTTGTATGAGATCCTTTTATAGTTTGGATACTAGCTCACCCCTTATCATATATGTGATTTGCAACTCTTTTTTCCCATTTGGTAGGTTGTCTTTTAGTATTTTGATGGTTTCATTTGTTGTGCAGAAGCATTTTAGTTTGTTGTACTCCCATATGTTTATTTTTGCTTGTGGTGTCAAGTCCAAAAACTCATCACCAAAACTTGTGTAAAGGAGCTATGTTTTTTTCTGGGAATTTTATGATTTCAGTTCTTACATTGAAATCCTTAATACATTTTCAATTTACTTTTGTGTATGGTTTAAAATAGTGGTCCGTTTTCATTCTTTTCCATGCAGTCCAGTTTTCCCAGCATCATTTATTGAAAAGACTATCCTTTCCCCATTTTATATACTTGGCTTCTTCATTGTAAATTGATTGACCATATATGTATAGGTTTTTTTCTGGGCCCTGTATTCTGTGTGTCTGTTTTTATGCCACTACCATACTGGTCTGATTACTATAGTTTTGTAATATAGTTTGAAATTAGGGCAGTGATGCTTTCCAGCTTTGTTTTTCTTTCTCAAGATTGCTTTGGCTATTTGGGGTTATGTGTGGTTCCATACCAATTTTAGGATTGTTTCTTCTATTTTGTGAAAATGCTGTTGGATTTTGATAGGGATGCATTGAATCTGTAGATAGGTTTAGGTAGTATGGACATTTTAACAATACTCTTGTGGTCCATGAGCACAAACTTTTTTTTTTCCATTTATTTGTGTCTTTCTTTCATCAATGTCAGTTTTCAGTGTACAGGTTTTTCACCTCTTTAACTAAATTTAATCCTAGTTTTATTATTTTTGATGAAGTTGTAAATGAGATTTTCTTAATTTTTCTTTTTGATAGTTTGTTATCTGTATAGAAAACAACAGATTTTTGTGTTTTGATTTTGTATCCTGCAACTTTACCAAACTTATTTATTAGTTCTAGCAATATTTTGGTAACATCTTTATGGTTTTCTATATATCATATCATCTGCAAATAGGGGCAGTTTTACTTCATCCTTTCTAATTTGAATGCCTTTTATTTCTTTTTCTTCTCTAATTGTTTTAGCTAAGGTTTATAGTGCCATGTTGAATAAAAGTGGCAAGTGTCTTGTTCCTGATCCTAGAGGAAAAACTTTAAGCTTTTCACCATTGAGTATGATGTTAGCTGTGGACTTGTCTTATATGACCTTTATTATGTTGAAGTACCCCTCTGTACCCGTTTTGTTGAGAAGTTATAAGTGGATTTTGAAGTTTGTCAAATGCTTTTTCTGCATCTGTTGAGGTAGATGATCATAAGACTTTTATCCTTCATTTTGTTAATGTGCTGTGTCACTTGATTTGTGAATGTAGAAGCTTGTACCCCTGGAATGAAGCCCACTTTATCATGGCGTATGATCCTTTAATGTGTTATTGAATTTAGTTTCTTAATATTTTGTTGAGGATTTTTGCATCTTTGTTCATCAGAGATAGTGGTCTATAGTTTTGGTTTTTTTTGTGGCACCATTGTTTGGTTTTGTTATCAGGGTTATGCTGGCCTTATAAAACATGTTTGGAAGTGTTCCCTTCTCTTTTAATTCTTAGAAGAATTTGAGAAGGATTGATATTAATTCTCTTTCAGTGTTTGATAGAATTCACCAGCCTTCTGGTCCTGGAATTTTCTTTGGGAGGTTTTTGATTATGCATAATCAGTCTATTCAGCTCTCCTATTTCATCATGATTTAGTCTTTTTTTTCGATAGTGTTTCTAGGAATTTATCCATTTCTTCAAGGTTGTCAATTTTGTTGGCATATCATTGTTCATAGTACTTACTTATCCTTTGTATTTCTGTGGTGTCAGTTGTAACATCTTCACTTTCATTTCTGATATTTGAGTCCTCTCTTTTTCTTGGTGTGTTCAAGTTTTTCATGAACTTTTTTTTGTACACAGGTATTTGCAACACTATTATTCATGATAGACAAAAGGTTGAAATAAGCCAAATGTCCATCAGTGGACAAACAGATAAACAAAAGTGGTATCTCTATAAAATGAAATAGTATAAAAAGGAATAAAGTACTGCATGCCACAACTTGTTTAAGCCCCAAAAATACCCTGTCACTTGAAAGAAACCAGGCATATATATCTACTTACTATATGATTCTATTCATATGAAAGTCCAGAACAGGCAAATATATAGACAGAGAGAGTAAATTAGTGCTTGCTTAGGGCTGGGTGGCAGGGGTTAGTGGGGAGGGTGGGAAGGTGATAAGTAAAGGATATAGAGCTTTGGGGGTTTTTTGTTGAGATATAATTGACATATAACATTTTATTAGTTTCATGTATATAATGATTCAATATATGTATATATACAAAATTATTAGAATAAGTCTATGTGAAAACATTTAATTTATCTTGGAGATGTACATGTTTTAATTTCTTGGGTATAACATAGCTTGTACAATAAATAAACGATGTTAAATTTAAACCATGAATACATCCTGTTATTATTTAAAATTGGTATGATTCTTTTTTTTTTTTTCAGCGAGTACTGAGCCATCAAGATGATACAGCTTTGCTAAAAGCATATATTGTTGAATGGCGAAAATTCTTTACACAATGTGATATTTTACCGAAGCCTTTTTGTCAATTGGAGATTACTTTATTGGGTAAACAGGGCAGCAATAAAAAATCAAATGTAGAAGATAGTATTGTTCGAAAGGTAAGTTAATTTTTCACTTGTTTTCTACCCTTTTTCAGAAAGAGGATGATTTGAAGACTTCTGAAAGTAATTTAGACTTTAAAATGGGTTTGTCTATTTCACATATAAATATCTTCTAGCTCTTGCCGCATTTTATTGAATAATACCAGTTTCTCTTGCATCCATTTTTATCTTCTGTTCTCTCTCTTCTCTGTGTGGTTGTAAGCTGTAGAACTGTATGTATCTTCAGACATTACCTCCTTTGATTTTCCTCTTTTGCTTTCTCCTTTTCTTAGTTTTTACTTCAATATTTTATTTTCTTATTCTTTCTTTGTACTTTTACCGCCCTATAAATTCCTATAAATTAAATTACTTTTTTCCTCTTTCAAAAATCTCTCCTTGAAAGGGGAACCCTCCTACACTGCTGGTGGGCATGTAAACTAGTTCAACCACTGTGGAAAGCAGTATGGAGGTTCCTCAAAAAGCTCAAAATAGACATACCATTTGACCCAGGAATTCCACTTCTAGGAATTTACCCTAAGAATGCAGCAGCCCAGTTTGAAAAAGACAGATGCACCCCTATGTTTATCACAGCACTATTTACAATAGCCAAGAAATGGAAGCAACCTAAGTGTCCATCAGTAGATGAATAGATAAAGAAGATGTGGTACATATACACCATGGAATATTATTCAGCCATAAGAAGAAAACAAATCCTACCATTTACAACAACATGGATAGAGCTAGAGGGTATTATGCTCAGTGAAATAAGCCAGGCAGAGAAAGACAAGTACCAAATGATTTCACTCATATGTGGAGTATAAGAACAAAGCAAAAACTGAAGGAACAAAACAGCAGCAGACTCACAGAACCCAAGAATGGACTAACAGTTACCAAAGGGAAAGGGACTGGGGAGGACAGGTGGGAAGAGAGGTAGAAGGGGAAAAAGGGCATTATAATTAACACACATAACATCGGGGGTGCACGGGGAAGGCAGTATAGCACAGAGAAGACAAGTAGTGGCTCTATAGCATCTTACTACGCTGATGGACAGTAATGGGGTATGTGGTGGGCATTTGATAATGGGGGGAATCTAGTAAAACCACAATGTTGCCCATGTGATTTTAAATTAATGATACCAAAATGAAAAAAAAATCTCTCCTTTTATTAAGTTACCTTCTGGTATCTTTGTGGTTAATCATGGCCAAAATGCCATCATCTTCGTAATGTTCTTTTTACTTGATTCTCGTTATTATTAACCCATTGTGGACTGTGTTTATTTTCATATTTTGCATAGTTCCTAGTTAAAAGCTCCCCCCAGTAATGGCTCATGATTTAATGAACTGAACTCTGTTAAGGAACTCAGCTCTGAAAGTGAAGAGTCCCTGGGTTCCCTTTCAGTTCAGTTAGTGATGATCTAACCTCTGTGTCCTCATTTATCCTATAAAATTCCTACTTGTGAGAGGCAAATGGAACCATAGATCTGAAAAGTAAAACATTTCATTTGAACTTCAAACAACTCATTACTTGATATGATGGTTATAGCAAGAAATAGTGACCTGGACATTATTCCCAGCCTTAAAATTTATGCCACATTATCAGGAACACTGTAAGTTTAGATAGCCAGTTGTTCTTAGTGGCAAAAATAACTGAAATATGTGAAATTACCCTCCCCCCGCAAAAAAAACCACTTCTCAATGCTTTTTAATTGGCTGTTCCATAATCTTGTCCTCTCTTCTTTTCTGTTACTCCTTTAATTTTTACCATTCCCCATGTTTGTGGGAATCCACATCACTTAATGATTAAGAGCACAGATTCTGGGACCACAGTTGTTGAATTCAAGTTCCAGTGTTGCTATTTATGAGCTATGTAAATATGGGAAAGTAGCTGTCTGCTCTGTGCCCCAGATTTCACACATCTAAGGAAGAAATAATGGTACCTGTATGTAGGTTGTGAGGATTAAATGAGGTGTATGTGGAGAGTACATGGAGGATCTCCACATACATAGTGAGTGTCATATAACTTAACTGCTACCATTTGCTGTTGTAATAAATATATTTTCTGTATCTGACATTCTTGGATATTACATAGGTCGGTGATAATACATATTCACAAGTATGTATATACCATTTCCATCATTTAGATGGAACATCTATAAAGTAGATTTGTGTATATGTATATATATAAATACAATTTTTTTAAGTCCAGTATCAAATTTTCAGTTGATCATTTTTGCAATTATTGTATGTTTATACAAACATGCATAGGAGCATTCCAAACACATATCAGTATTTCTGAAATTCTACCTCGGAACTATAGGGGAAGTAACATTTTCCATCCATTACCATATTTAATTTTACAACCACCACTTGAAATTTGTACTATTATTTTCATTGTTTGACAGATGAAAAAGCAGGTAAATAAATAACAGCTGGAATTCAAATCTAATTATGTTGATTCTGAAACTCTTTACCATTTGTTATTTAGCAAATTTAAATATACTACTTCCTTGAAATATTCAAGTGAATATAGGCCTAAGAATTTGATTTCCTTTTTTAGTGTTTGGATTAACATTTGTGTGTGTGTATATGATATTGATGTATTAATCACTGAAAGAATTCCATATTTTGTTCTTTTTTTCCTAGCTCATGCTTGATACATGGAATGAATCAATCTTTTCAAATATAAAAAACAGACTCCAAGATAGTGCAATGAAGCTGGTACATGCTGAAAGACTAGGAGAAGCTTTTGATTCTCAGCTGGTCATTGGAGTAAGAGAATCCTATGGTATGTTATAAGGTTTTATGATCATAATTTCCTTTTTACAGAAATTCTAAGATAATTATAGAATAACACTATCAAAATTATGTTTATTAACATATAGTCACATCTACTTTTAGTGCCACATGCTTTTAAGAAAACGTATTCTTTAAAGAAACCTATAAAAATTCATATTTGTGTGGTTAATATATATTTTTTCTATCACACTCATTTTTGGCTGGTGAATCTTTTTAGTGACCTAAAATAGAGAAATGTAGACTTGTATCTATAGTTCGTAAAAGGTGGTAATTGGCTTTGTACGTGTTTTCAGGAAGTTAATTCCATGTGTACATTCCTCTCCAAACTTTTCAGTTTCTGACAATGATATTCTCATTAGTTCCTTGAATTAGATATGCTGTTTCACTGTTTACTCTAACTAGATTACCTCCTCTCTCTTTCTCTTCTAACTCATCCTCTAGTTCCACATATAGGTCTTTTATAATTCCAAGATGAAATTAGGTCCTCTCACAATAGTACCTATCCCTCCCTGTCATAATACTTTAGTTTAATTAACTATGTTGTTGACACTCTATCATTACTAAACATAGATTGCCTGGCACAAATTATTTCTTGATAAGAATGTTTTATATGAATGAACCTTTACTTATCTTTGATTGGCTCTCTCCATTGCCCCCATGTATTTCAGTTATCAGATTTTAGATTTTCATCAGCCATGTCCCTGAAATTTATTCCTTTTTATTTCAGCTGCCACCAGTTTAGACTTATTTAAACTCTACTTCTGGACTTTTGAGGCAATTGTCTTATTGCTATCACTTAACCCATGTAGTAGAATTAAGTACTGTTTTCTTGGTATTTTTCTTATTTAACCCATTTAGTGTAGTATACCATCCTGAATTCAGGTTATTTAGCCGGAGATTTAAGGCTCTCCACGACCATTCCTACCTTATGTTCTACCTTATCTTCTATTAATCTTACATGCCACTCAAACAACTTAGTCATTATACTTTGACATGGTCTTATACTTTTCTGTTTCTGAATATTTACTTACTTTACGAATCTCTGTTTATATCCTAGTTTTATTCCTAAGACTCAGTTCAAATCCTGTCTCTTCTGTGAATGGTCTTGATCACCAGTTAGAAGTCAGTCTCTTTCCTATTAAAAAAAAAAATTGTCCCTATTACCTGTACTGTTTGTCTTTGTGCTGTTTACTGCTTTGTGCTATTATCTTTTTAAGTCTCTCATAGGAAAGGATTTTGTCTTAACCAGTTTTATGATCTCTTCAGCTTTGTCACAGTCTCATGTGCATAATAACTACCCAATATTTGTTACTTCATTTATTGTACTCAAATACTGAATTTACTCATAATTAGAATAAAATTTTATTTTCTGTTTTTCAGTTAACCTTTGTTCTAATCCTGAAGATAAGCTTCAAATTTATAGGGACAATTTTGAGAAGGCATACTTGGATTCAACAGAGAGATTTTATAGAACACAGGCACCCTCGTATTTACAACAAAATGGTGTACAGAATTATATGAAATATGTAAGTCAGAACTTAGTACATGTGATAATTTGAGCTATTCTCTTGATATTCTTAAAATGATTGCTATTTTGCTTCTGGACAGGCAGACGCTAAATTAAAAGAAGAAGAAAAACGAGCATTACGTTACTTAGAAACAAGACGAGAATGTAACTCTGTTGAAGCAGTAAGTAATACTGTGTTGTGTATTTTATGAGATTATTTGAAAAACAGTAGCCCAGGGATGACAAATACATGGCGTAGGTAATATTATTTATCCTTTCTCATGTCTCCGACCAACGTCATTAATTGATTATAATACTTTTCCCAGTGAGCCAAAGCACAGCTGCAGAAGGCATCTTATTCAGAATTCACTGTTGTTCTTAAGCTGATGTGCAAGATAAAATCTATTTGCCATCCCTGCTCTAGACTTTACTATATTTAATGTAGTTTAATATTAATATTCAGAATTTAATTTTTAAACAATCTCCTTTTATTATATTGTATATATATCTATATATCTATATATACATATAGATATATAGATATAGTTAACCATTTTAATGACTTTAATGTTGTAAGTAAAATATGTACCTAGAAGCATAGTTGATTGTTGTTAATCATGGTAATTATGTTCTATAAAGTGGCTGCAAACAGTGAATTAGTAACAAACCATTACTCCTAGAGGATATTTATTCTTGATATGGGAGAATATTTTCAAACCTCATCTTGTCATGAAATAAAATATTAATTATTTAATCAAGGAACATCAGTCTTAAATTGTTTTATTTACTTATATTGTAAGGAAAGGAAGAATTAAACTTCGATAGTCTTAGAAATTGCTCAGATATAGCAATAATATTTCCTCTAGTTCTTTTCAGTCTTTGGAGCCTAGTAACTAGATTTAGATTATACTCAAAGAAATTAACATTCCAGTTTTATAACATTTTTCAACTCTGGCTGATTTTTTTTTTTTAACTTTTGAGTTTTCTTTGGCTTCTTCCATCTTGAATAATAGCGATGTTTATCTTCATTCAAAAATCAGGCTGAATTGGATGCTTTCTCCCTAGTTTTTCTGTTTTACTTTTCATAATATATTCCCTTTTTCAATGGCAAAAATAACTGTGATATTGGCCAGAAAAGGGGGCTAATTTAGTGGTTATTTATAGTTCTCTATAGAAATTTAGATCTAGGCTTGGGCAGGAAAGGCCATTGAATGTTGTTATTTAAACAAGTGTGTCATGCTCCAAGTTTTCCCTCAGGAAGATTAGTTTGGTGGCAATATAAAAGATTAATTAAAGTGGGGAAGAGCTGGAAATAGAAATTAGGAGGTTTTTGCAATAATTCAAGCAGAGTATTAGGAGTACCAAAAAGTTTATAGCAATGAGAACAGAAAGGAGAAGTGTAGAAAGATTTCACAAAGGCAGAAGAACATTGTATCACATGGATGGGGTTAGATACTGGAGAGAATTGAGTCAATAGTGTTTCTGAGGTTTTGGTTTGGGAGAATTGTACTGCTACAGAGAGATCAGGTGTAAGAGTAAGTCTTAGTAGTGTACAAGAAAGATGAGTCTAGTTTCAGGGATCTGAGTATTTTGAGTTGATCAGTGTGCTCATAGCATCTGGGTAGGGCTGTTGCAATTTCATAAGAAACAATTGTATTCTATTCGTCTGCTCTCATTTATACAGCCGAGTTATATCATATCCATATTAAACTTGTGTAAATTCAACCTCAAATAACGGTCCAACAGAGAATAGGAGAGAAAAAGAAAAAGAATGAGAAAGGTAGCACTAAATAAATATACATGACAATTTGAATAGAACAGTTAAATCTCCCTTTCTACTTTAAAACACACACCTCACCAAGTTGAATAACTCTTGAATTTAAAGATAAATTTCTTGTCTTTCTTTTCAACAAAGACCCTAAGGCCATAGAGCAAGCTTCTAAAGAGATTGTACTTTATTGGGGATGTAAGAGAGTTCTGTTTGTGTGGTCTGGTTTTTTTGTTTTTTCCTCAGTTTTCTGTTTTGTTTTTAAATCAACTTGATTAAAATGTAACATATATACAGAAAACTGCACAAAAATCTTAAGTGTATAATAACTGAATTATCACAAAATGAAATACCTGTGAAATCACCAGAACAAGAATTATTGGCAATTCAGAAACCTTCTACCATGCCCCCTCCAAATTACTGTTACCATCTTTTCTTCAAAAGTTATCACTCTCCTAACTTCTAACACAGATTAATGTTAATCAGGGACCAATGTATAGTTTGTTCAGTGCAGAGGAGACATGAAGCACCAAAAGTGTAGAATTAATTAGAACTTTGGGGATTTAAGGCTTAATGCAGGTGTGTTACTACATTATATAACTCACTGAGCTAAGGCCATTATGTTATACACATAATATTAATCATATATTTGTTAATTTATAATTTTTGTTTCCAAGAGAAATGATGTATTAAAATGAAGTATGTTGTAATGGAATGAAGAGTAAGCCAAAAAATCACCAAGCCCTGGGCTCTAATTTAATATGAATAAAATATGATTTCTTTGAATAGTAAGAAACAAGTCACTTTCCATACTAAAAAATATTCAAAACAGATTTACTGCCCTAAATTAAAGGAATTATCAGCCATCAGAAATGTGCTATGCTATTTCTTAATGCTTTATTGATATTAGTTCTAGTTTGTACTTAGCTTTTTGGCTATTCTTATTAATATAGGATAAATACAAAATTGGAAGAATATTTTTTACTGTTATCGTCACTTCATGTGGGGCTGCATGGTAATGTACACCAGAACTTAAGATATAAGTATGTACATTTTTGCATTTATGGTTTTCTCCGAAAAATAGGAAATTATTATGGTTTATCAATTACTTTCTTTGAATTTAGTTAGTATGAGTCAACCTCAGTCTTTTAAACCCAACTGGTTTTCAGCATACACAGGAAAACAAGTTTCTGGACCTGTATTCTGTGTAATAGAGCAAATCTCACCCAGGTAGTACCCAGTTACAAGGCCAGGCCTAATAAAGGCCAGATGTATATTTTAGATGTTCATACAGTGCTAAGTAGCTTACTGAATTCTTTGGTTTTTTATGAGTTTATTTCTTTCTCTTGGGTATTCCTAGGATCTGATTACATCATTTGCAAATGGTAATGCTTCTTTCTAATGTTAGTATCTCCTATTTCCTTCAGTGGACTAAATCTATTAATTAATTTTAGAAAAATGTTAAATAATACTGGGAATCCTTGTCATCTTGTCTTCTTCCAACCTTTGTTGAGAGTGCTTCTAGATTTTCACCATTAAGTATGATATTGGCTTGTGGCTTCATGTGTGCATTTTTTTATGTTAAGAAAGCATTCATTAGGAATGTATATATCTTAGTCTTACACCACTAGCTTATTTTATGTGAAAATGTTGAGGCATTTCCATTAAGATAATGAGCAGGGCAAGTATGCCCCACTATTTCTACTGCTGTTTAACATTGTATTAGATGATGCTTGAACCACACAGAAGTAAACTTAAAAAAATGGAAAGACATCCCTTGTTCTTAAATTCTGTGACTCAAAATTATAAATTTTGGTTCTTCCCTAAATGAATTTATAAATTCACTGTAATTCCAATAAAAATACTAATAATTATTTTATGAACTTACATGCATTGACACAGAAGTTCATGTGGAAAAGTAAACATTTAAGAATAGCCAGGAAGACACTGGAAAAGAAAAACTATGAGGAGAACTAGCCATACCAGATATTAAAACATACTGTATAAAGCCATACCATTATAAAGAAAATAGTGTGGTTATTGATACATAAGTAGATAGGGAATCAGTGGAATGGAATAGGAAGTCCAGAATTATATATGACAAAGTTGGATCTCAAATCACTGGCGGTAAAGATGGATTTTTCAACAAATAGTGATGGGACAACTTGGCAGGCATTTGGAAAAAAATAATTACATCTGTATTTATACCAAATAATAAACACCAAATGAATTAGGGATCTAAATGTTAAAAATGAAATTGTACAAGTATTAGAAGAATCCCTCTTTGACCGTGGTGTAGGGAAAATCTTTTCATTATGACTCAAACTTCAGAGTTAATAAGAAGAAGAGGTTGGCAAATTTGGCTACATTTTAAAAGTTGCCAAAAGCACCATAAGCAAAGGCAAAAGACAACTCACAACTTGGGAAAAAATATTTGCAACATATATTACAGACAAAGGTCTAATACCCCTCTTATATAAAGAACTTTTTAAGTGTATTTTTTTAATTGAAGTATAGCTGATATACAATATTATGTGGTTTCAAATATATAACACATTGGTTCAGCAGTTACAAACATTATTAAATCCTCACCCCAACTTGTGCATTTACTGTCTGTCAACATAGATGTTACAGAACGATTGACTATATTCTCCATGCTGCACTTTGATCCCCAAGACCAACTTTTATTATGATTGAGATTTTTGTCACTTTATCCCACTCACCCACCCAGCCTAGCCCCTCCCTCATGTAAAGAATTTTTTTTATTGTAATTGAGAAACAAAAAGGGACATAAAACCTGATAGAAAAAACTTGGAAACAAATGCAGACAGACAATTTACACAAATATATGCTTAATAGTGTCCACCAAACATACAAAAATGTTCAGGCTCATTCTTACAGAAGAATGCTGCCTTAAAAATGTAGAGGGCAGCAGACAGTCACTATCAGGCAAATACAGCAATGATTGTTACAGACAAGCTCCACCAATGAATACTAAGACTCAAGGCCAAAAGTTAGAGCTAAAATATATTTTCTTAAACTTCAAAGTATCTTTCCCCAAGATATTTACTAAGGAAAAAATAGTAATTTCACGATGGAGAAACCCAAAAGACACTCTTAATCAAATGATCAAGGTTAACATCACCAGTACAAGACAGTGATGTTCTATACCTTAAATATGATGCACTAAGAAGAATACAACACATATGTGTGATATTCTTGTCAAGTATGCATACTCTAATGAGAAAAGATTAATAGGCAATCCCAAATTGAGGGTCAGTCTACAAAATAACTGACTAGTACTCTTTAACCAAAAGTGTCAAGATCACAACAGACCAAAATAAAATAAGGAAGTATCACAGATTGGAGGAGACTAGAACTAACAACTAAATGCAATGTGGACTTGTAGGTAGG